ACAGGAAATCTCATTGGAACTGGAATCAGTGAGGAGGAAAACCTCAACTGCTGCACGTTTTCCAAAGTTACCATCAGTGAGCAATGCAATTTGAAAACTGATGACAATAATTACCGTTTATGTCAGGGTGGCACTCCAGGGGCACGAAACCTTGCCCTTACCCATCAACCTCAGAACTTATCTTTATATTTACTGGGAAATACACACCAGGACTTGGAGGGGCCCTAGGAACCTTCACTGATTCATCCCCCAGGTATTTACAGACCTGTCTAGGCCCTAGGGGTGCAACACACAAGACAAGTATTAGCCCTCATGGAGCTCCCATCTAGGGGAGAGGGAGACAGACAAGCAGATAGACCTGCATGGGATGTCAGGTGTCAATAAGGGCCATGGAGGACACAGAGCAGGGAAAGCTCAGAAAGTGAAGACAGAGGGTCTGCAGATGAAGTGTCAGGAAGGCAGCTCCCAAGGATGCCACTGAGTGTGAGCAGTGCCTGAGGGCAGTGAGTGAGTGAACCATGCAGACACCTGGGGGAGAATATTAGAAAAAAGACGAAATAACAGGTTCAGAGGTGCTGAAGTAAGGTGATCATGCTGCCGATCTTGAACCAATAGGAGGACAGATGGACGCATACACGCGCACACACACAAGTCAAGTCTGAAGGACATAATCCAAATGCTGATTGATTTCTCTCTCTTCCCTTCTAGTCTCACTTTTAATCTTCTGGAGCCCACCCATCGCAGCCCATCTCACCATTGAATCGGTGCCGTTCAATGCTGCCGAAGGAAAGGATATTCTTCTACTTCTCCGCAATCCGCCAGAGGATCCTTATGGTTACTACTAGTGCAAAGGGGAAAGAACAGATCCCAGCCTCGAATTTGTAGCATATGTCATAAGAGATCAAAAAATCACCCCAGAAATTGCCCACAGCAGTCAAGAGAAAATATACTCTGGTGGATCCCTGATGTTTCAGAGCGTCACCCAAGAGGACACAGGTGACACCCTACAATTAATAAAGAAAAATACTCAGATTGAAAAAGATAGCTAGACAGATCCGTGTATACTGTGATTCCTCTAAGACCTCAGGGTGTGGGGTGGGTTAATTCATACAGGCCTGACAGGCCTGACCCTCTGCTGGGCCCAGGCCACAACACACTGTGTTGGGGTTTGAGAATTTTTAGTGTAGGATACACACAGGGGAGACACACTGCAAAAGATCAGAATCCCCTTCCCGAATCCAGACCCCACAGACGCTGGCTGCAGAGAGAAGAGTCAGATGGGGTGTAACTCAGCAGGGGGAGATCAGTCACAGTCCAGCCCCCTGGATCCCTCCCCACGAACGTGGCCCTGAGAGACACCCTGGAGGACTGGGTCAGGCCCTGGCCTGAGGGGCCCCTGGGGTCCTCACAGAGAAGCTCAGCTCCAGGAAGCCTCTTCCTCAGACCCTGTCCCAGCAGCAGCCCATGCAAGGACTCTACCACCAGCCAATGCACCCAAGTCACCAGGAGAACAAGCTTCCACTGTGTCCCTGTCCAGGGATCTTCCTCTTAGTGATGCCAACACATGGGACAGGCCACACAGGATGGGCAGGCACCTCTTTGATGCGCTCTCTGCATTGATCTAACCAGGGAGGCAGAGGCAGAGGGAACAGGTCTGCAGTCCCTAAACCATGTTGTTGTTTTTAGGTGCCCTCGAGTCAGTACCAAGTCATAGTGACCCTGTGTACAGCAGAACAAAACACCGCCAGGTCCTGCACCATCCTCACAATTGTAACGCTTGAGCCCATTGTTGCAGCCACTGTGCCAGTCCATCTCGTTGAGGATCTTTCTCTTTTTCGCTGACCAAGCCTTACCAAGCATGAGGTCTTTCTCAAAGGACTGGTCCCTCCTGATAACATGCCCAAAGTACGTGAGACAAAGTCTCGCCATCATTGCTTCTAATGAGCATTCTGGCTCTACTTCTTCCAAGGCAGATTTGTTCATTCTTCTGGCAGTCCAAGGTAAATTCAATACTCTTGGCAACACCATAACTCAAAGGCATCAATTCTTTTTCGGGCTT